TGTTCTCCGCAACTGGAAGCAAAGACTGTCTCCTACCTCCCCAGCAGGGAGGGAAATCAAGCCAATGATGTAGGAGAACCCTGGGAAGGATTGCAGTGAGCCTTCAGGCAGGTGAGGGGCTGGTTTCCTCTCCAGGCTGTTCCCGGTGACTTTTTGAGACTTGCAGCTATAATCTGGGACAAAACTTGGCCTCAAAGCTCCCTCTAGGAACTGGGCAAACAAGTTCTTCCCCAGGAGATGGCAAAGGCTTATATTCACACATTACTGAGAGTGAAAATGCGTCCACCCATGTCCAAATCCTGCTCTCTCTCAGAAACCTTCCCCTTCAAGTTCTCCTCTGTGACTCTCCAGCTCTTGGGGTAACAGAAAGGAGCATCTCCGACACACATGGGGAAGGTGGGCTGCTCTAGCCACACAGCTGTGTCTCCAGTTTGGTCTGTGATGGTCCTGTCCATGCCATTGTGGTTCTCCAAAACCTGTGCTCCATGGACTCCAGCTTTGGCAGTCACTGGAGCAAAGTCCTGTCCAGCATCTGTTCCAGGGTTTCATGCTATTGAACATCTCTGCAGTACCTTCCAAACAAGGATAACAGGAATGACAGTGCCCACCACAGTGTCCTCTATTCCCATAGGAAGTATCACAACTGTGTCCTGAAACTACAGCCTGGCACAGCAAGCTCAGCTCCAGCAGGGAAAGGAGCAAAGGCAGCACCTCCCAGGAATTAACTGCTGTGCCCTCAGTGGGAAGTGACAGCTCCTTCCATCCCCTCCACCCTGCATTGCTCTGTTTTGGAGAATCACAAAATCATTCATTTTGGAAAAGACCTCCAAGTTCAAGTCCAACCTTCAGCCTAAACTGTGCTCCCCCCCTGCCATCCCACCAGCAGGACATCCCCACATCACAACGACACCACCACGAGAAGAGAGAAAGGAAATTCTTCCTTTTTCTTCCCAACCCCTCCACCAACATGTTAACAACCCAAGTTTAATGTAGGTGGCATGTTTCATACAGAATCTTACAGGCACCCAAAACACCAGCTGGTGCCATGTTCTGAGGAGTTAACGAGGTGAAACTCCAACACTTCAGTCTCCTTCCAACGTTCCCAGGCTGAACAACAGGCCCAAGGCGGCTTCGCCACCGCAGGGATCCCCCAGCACCCAAACACTGCCAAGCCCTGGAGCCAGCAGGGCTCATCCTCCAAAGGGCTTGGAACAGCTCTGCAATGGACACACTCTCCCAAATCAGTATTTCTAATATTTTTCCTAATTAGTTGTAAGGGGGTTTTTAACCCGCGATGTGGAATGGCAACGTTTAAAGACCAGACATGGAAAGAAAGGAACAATCCGAACAAACCATCTGCTCTCGCTGCTCAAGATGGGATCTGCATGAAGGAATGATGGAATGAAGATTGCAGTAATTTTAGAGTTAAAGCCATTTATATCTTTAATAGACTTAATATATTTTGGAGCCGGATCCATCCCTCCCAACACTGAATTTGGAAAGAGAGAAATACCCAAAAGAACATGAAATTCCCCAACGAGGCACAGTTTGCAAGAACCCGCTCAACATGAAATATTTCTGGCAAATATTGTAAACCATTCTTGAAAAGCAGAAAGTTCAACTTCCCCTGTTTCCTTACTTGTATTATACAATGTTTTGTGCATCCCTTTATTAATAATGCCAGGTTTTCCAATTAAATTAAAGGGGGGGAAAAGCTCAACTTATTCTTTGCATAAACTTAATACCACATTTAGTCTGCCTCTTTCTCCCTCCCTCAGTTGTGGTTTGGCTTCCTTTCAGCTTCTAAGAAAGTTTTGGAATCTCAGTTCTGCAAGAAAGAAATACTTTGGCAAAATAATTCTGAAAGCTTTTTTAAAAAAAAAAAATTAAAACCAATGAATTTACATTCTGAACCATTCCCAAGATCTTACTTACTCAGCAACCTCCTGGGGATGTTGTGAGGTTTAATTAGCTCCAGTTGGAAAAGGCTTTGAAGAGGAAAAGTGCCAAATATTGCTCCACTCAGGTAGAGCTAAAATGTCTAAATTATTACATCATAAAACAAATAATTTGAAAATTAATTCCTCTTCCTTGCCAGCGTGACTTCACAGGGACTTCACCTCCCCAGTGTGCTGGTAGGATCACACCACCAAGGTGTGCAAGGGCTGGTAACAACGAAAAATCAGAGATTTTTGAACATCATGATGCCTTTGAGGCCACCTCAATCACTTAATTTTGGGGATGTTTAACTGTTTGCCACAGCAGACCTGATCCTCAGGGCATCTTCAGTGCAGGTACTTGGCCACCTTTGGAGAAGATGCTGGGGAGTCCCTGAGCTAAAGCAGCTCAGCCCCAGAGCCTCTCTGGAGGAACATCTGGGCATTTGGCACAGGTTATTTTTTGTGATTTAACAAGGACACGTCCTTCTTCCTCAGAACACAGGGCCAGTGGAAATCTGAGCAGCCAAGCGGGTTTATTGAAGGAAGGTGCAAAAGTGAGGCTCCATCTCCTGCTCCCCAAGGACGTGATAATGACCCGAGGCTCCCAAGATGGGATTTTAATGCTCTGTGATTCCGAGGTTTTGCTCAGCATCAGTCACTTACCCAAATCTGCCCTTGGCAAGGGTCTCTCAGCCCCAGGAGTGACCTTGAGAGGCTCCAGCTCCAGGCAGATCCCCCATCCCGGCAGCTGCTCAGCAGGGACAGCTCAAAAAAGGCTCACTCAGGCTGTCATATTTACGGAATAAAGCAGTTGGCTGGCAGTCAAATTACAAGTGATGAAAAAGGTTGTGAGACTCCTTGTACCCACGAGCTCCTTTGTTCCTTGACCAAATTAGCGCTGGAAGAACCACCTGCTATTCATGTGTTAATCGCATGATCGCTGCTCCCTTCGCAGGCGCACACACATCAAAGCCGGCCGTGGCACCCTGTTCCTCTGGGGGTTTTCAAAGAACACCGAGAAACCAGAGAAGTTCACGACCTGCCAGACTTTTATCTCCTCAAACCAGCCCAGGTTTGGCCAAGCAGTTGAGTGTGTCCATCACAGAGGAGCAGGCAGGCACAGGACCACAAATCACCACAAATCACCACAAATCACCACAAATCACCACCTTTTTACCCAAGGAGCGCTGAAATTCAGCCACTTCCAGGTGAAACCAGGTCCCACCGCCCAAGGAGGGTCCCGGCTGCTCTCCCAGGGCTGTTTGCTATGGGGTGACAGGTTTTCTGCAGGAATTTTGGAGCACAGCCACCAGAGATGCTCCAGGCTGGGCAGGGAAGCACCGGGCTGGGATTCCTGGGAGCTCTCTCTGCACACAGAGCAAGCTGCAGCTCACACCTACAGGACACTCAGAACAATCCCAGAAAAGGCTCTGGGGAGCTCTCTGTTGGGAGGAAAGTTCCAGACACCAGTTTGTGACAGATGCTGATGCTACATCTTTGCTGCAGAAAGAGCCTTTGGCTCTCTTGGGGCTAACCTAAAGTTCACACCACCGTGGCCATTATTTATTCAGCTCTGCTGTTCAGCTGCATCATCTGTAACACTCCATAATGAGAGAATTTTGGGGAGTGCTTCAGCTTTGGGCTCCACACGGAAGCTTCTCTATTTTCTATCCACAAGGCTCCAAACCAAAGTGTGTCAGCAAAAGACTGCACCACTCACAAGCTGAAATGGGAAGGATCTTTCCCTGTAGGAACTAGAACTCACAGCTCTGACCAAGGAGGTGATAAAAAATCAGCCACATAATTTCACTCTCGCTTATTTCCCTACGATTGACCCTGAAGATTTTGTGGAGGGAGGGAAAAAGGTTCAGCAGAATTGTTACCAACTTGTTTTCAAACAGTTCCTTAAAGAATGCAGGGAAAAAGGCAATATTCCATCATAAGGCAAAACAAACAAACAAAAGCAGAATAAAAACAAACTTTAGGCCAGCTTCTGGGCTCCATAAATAGAGTTACTCAACTGACTGCACAGTGACATCTTAGATCAAGACCAGCAGAACTGAGCTGAAAATTCAGCTGCCTTTTTGAGCTGCAGGTAACGCTCTACAGTGACCCTCCCTCTCCCTGCTGCAGAGGTAGAACAATTTGTGTCATTTCAGGGAACAATTATTGCCAGCTCAGACTGCACTCTGCCTCCAGTCTCTCCTAGGTAAGACAGTCTCACCTCATTGTGCTCCGTGAGACAGAAGAATCTCTGTGAGAAAGCTGGAACGAATCAATTGAGGGAAAAGCAGAAGCAAGTGCCAGGATCTGAACACTGAGGATCAGTGCAATGGGTCCCCCTTAATCACTGCAAAATGAGAACATATTTGCCGTGACTGGGAATTTCAGGGGCACATGATAGCAAGCCCTGCTCCCATCCCTCCTGTGGATTTGTGCTCTTAGGGAAAGACTCAATTACTCAGCACTAAATGCCTGAAAAGGACAAAGCCACTCAAAGCTACATAATCACCTTAAAGTGGATGAAACAGGAGAGTGGGGCAAATGTATGTCTTGCATAAATCTAAAAATAAAAGAGGAAAAAAATCCCAAAGCCCTAGTCTGTTGAATTTTGGGCCCAGATTCTTATTGGGAATATGCAAAACTAAAACCTACAAGAAAGACACTTATTACATGTCTGAGACAATAAGGAACATTTTTAGGAAAATGGTAAGGATGGATTAAGAGTGTGGAGTGCAAAATTATCTGGCTTCTGTCCTCCAGATAAATCTCTGCCTTTTTCATGGCCACAGGAATACAGGAACAGCAGGAAAATAGGATCTTATGGATTAATAGGAACTTACACTAACCTGCACCGTGCAAAGAATAAAACACCCAGTCAAGTGTTGCACTTTGATCATCAAAATGGCACCTTGACCACCAAAGAGATACAAACTCCAGAGACAAGCACGTTAATTTATCCACAAAAATTATCACTGAGAAATAAATTAATTTATATTAAAAAAAAAAAAAAAGAGGATATTGACACATTTCGGGGCTGGAAGAAAAGTCACCTCCTGATCCCACATGCGCTTGGTTTTATTTACATATCCACAAAGACCATGAAACACCAGCCCAGCCCTCCCACCAGCAGCATGGTCACATGAATCCCGTAGATGAGCAGTTCATTCATGAGGCTGAAGTCCACCCGCCTCCGCCCCAGCAGCAGCAGGATGATGGAGAGTTTGTACTGGAAGCGCAGGAAGATGCGGATGCCGAGGTACTGAAGGCAAAACAAGATCGAGAGAGCCACCCAGAGGATGGAGGTGAAGAGGCTGCAGCTGAAGTACAGCAGGAAGCGGATGAAGCCGTACATCCATCGCGACTTGAGATAGATGTCGAAGTTGTTGTACTTGGTGCGCACCAGGTGCGCGCTGCGCACGGGGCCGCAGGCCGAGTGCAGGCAGGTGGTGTGCGGGCCGTGGAACGAGCGCACCCGCCGGGGAATGGGGATCACCGGCATCGGGCCCCGCCCCGAGCAGCCCGCCCCAGGCCACCGGGGCACATATCAGACGGCAGCGGGACGCGGCGCAGCTAACCCTGGGCTGGATGGCCGCCGAGGGACACACCTGCGGGGAAGGCACAGCGAGCACGTTGGTTTGGTGCTGAGAAATAACACGGACAGGAGGAATTTGCTCTAAATAACACAGACAAGAGGAATTTTCTCGATATCATTTTCTCTAAATGACACAGACAATACAAAGTTTGGGTTCTCCTGAAGCTGCTGAATAGAGCAACTGATCCCAGCCGATTTCTGTATCAGCGCTTCCTTACAATTGCTTTCCAAATCTCAGCTTCTTCCCTTAAAACGTCTTTGTTTTGCCTCTTTGCTTCTTATTCCCCACACAAACACGCTCTATTTCCATGCCAGATTGCAAATAAATTCCCCAGCCAGCACCACTTGTAGCTTGTTATAAACTTTATCCAGTGTTAATGCAGCAAGAGTTTTGGTCTGAAATTATCCTGGCTAATTCATAGATCTTTCCTAATCTAAGAGCCACCCTCCAGAGCCCACCCACCTGAGCAATAATATTCATGTGAGAGCAGTAATATTAATGTATGTGTTTGCACATGGGGTCACATTTCCTTTAAAAGCAAAGAAAAAAAAGAGTTCTCTGAGTACTTTCGCAAGTGCATTCCAGATTTGCGCTCATTTCCAAACTTGGCAAAGCTTCACCAAATAAACAAACTGAAAATAATGGAAGGTCTTGGAAGAACAATGAGGCAATCGTGTTTTTCACACTCCACAGGATGTACCTCCCCTGGCTCAGGCCAGCCTTGTGCTCTCACTGTCACTGCAAGGCCAGGCCAGGCAGCCTTTCAAAGGCAGCCACCAGTTTATTCCTCCCCTTGGGGACCTGCAGAGATAAGTGAAATTATCTTGATCTTCTGCAGTGTTTAGGATTTGTAATCTTAACATCCTTCCACACACCCATTGTTGTTGTGTGAGTGATGAGCAGGAGCCTCTGAGCTGCTCTCTGCTTCACCCCAGGCTTCTGATGTGCCAAATTCCGGGAATTATGAAATGACAATGCACTCATCAGATAATGCTGGAAAACAACAGGGACTTCCCCAGACCCCTCGCACACCCAAGTGCTCAGACCCAGGCAGATCTTTCCTTTGCTGAACCCAAAATCTGACTGTTCTTTAAATTAAAACTAATTCAAGAGTTACTTCAAGAATTCTTTAGTTTCATTACTAACAGAACTAACCACAGAGCAAATGATAAAGCTGCAGGAAATCGTAGTTTTGATACCAAAAATCCTTCTCTGATTCAATGTGTATCAGTGGGGAAGTCTCTGCCCTGCTTCCTGCCTCAAATTCCATGGAAATGGAAATTCCAGCTCTGATCTGCTCAGCCCCACGTTCCAATTCCTTTTTGCCCTTACAGAAATGTGAGCCAGTATTGTCTCTGCACGGATGAGGGACTCCCAAAAAGGAGTAAGGGCTAAATTATCATTTAAGGAATTCAGGAAACCAAGGGTTCTCCTCAATCATCACAGACACCCTCATAATTGTGGGTGCCTCTTGCCCTGTTTCCTGTCAGGAGCAGGAAATGCCAGTCAGAAATGGCTTTAGCAAGGCACAGGAACTGCTCAGACTCTGAGCCAGCACTGCCTAAACCCAACCCAGCTCTGCAGCAGGGGACCCCACACACTTCCCCCATGGTGGCTGTGAACTGCTCACAGTTTGCTCTCAGAGGTATTTTTTGGAGGTCTAAAGCAAGACAGGTCAAAAATCCCAGGCTGGGGATCCAGAATATTCCATTCCTGACGATGCAGCCTCTCCTTGCAACTTCCCTCACAAACTTTTCCAGCAAACTCTTGCACAGCTGAGTTTGCCTCTGGTGGGTTCATGCTCCTTGGATGAACTCAAACATCAACACTGGAACACTGGGAGGACAAAAGAAACTCTGGATTATTACATTTTAGGGGTGCTGCCATCCAACTCAGGCCGTTCTGGGATGCCACTCAGTTCTTGGAACAAAAGAGTGAAGTTTTCCTGTGACACCTTCTAGGAAGAGCGACAGAAACTGCTGAGGTGCTTCACGAACTCACAACTCTCTGCACAGGAGCTGATCTAAAAGACAAAACAACAAAACCGTTTTCAATTCGCTCATTTTGTGCATTAAAGTGCTGGCATTTACCAGGCCTCTCCTCAAGCAAGAATTTTTAAACCCGTGAAGACTCTAAAAAGAGCTCAGCACTCAGCAAAATAAGGATTCCAGCTTGTGATCCATGCTGGGAACAATCAGGGAGCTGCTACTCAATGCCAGGACAGAAAATCTTGTGCTGCTCACTTTCTCCTGCCACAGAGAGAATGTTTCATGTCCTGGGGCACGTGAAACACACGCAGGGAGCACAGACTCTCCAAACTGAACGTGGAGCAGCAGATCCTCCCCTGGGAGGGTGGCAAGGCCCTGGCACGGGGTGGGTGCCCCTGGAAGTGTCCCAGGACAGGGCTTGGAGCAGCCTGGCACAGTGGAACGTCCCTGCCCGTGGATGGGGTGAGTTTTTAAGTCCTTTCCAGCCCCAAACTTGCGGCGATGCTGTGATTATCCCCCAGCCCGTGTTTCGCCCGTGGTGCCCACACAACGCTGGGACACCGCTCCATCGTTTTGGGGCCGGCCGGGTCATCCCGGGGCACCGTCCCAGATCCCCAGGGGAGCCACCTCCGTGTCCCCCCGGCACCCCCAGCTCGTTAAAAACGCCCAGAACTCTTTCGTTTCCAGGAGATTTCCCTCCCTCTCCGGTACGGAGGGCGGCACGGTGAGCAGCGAGCGGGAACCTCCGCGCCCACCGGGGCTCGGGGCGCTCCCCACGCCCGGAGCGGGAGCACCGGCAGCTCCCACCCGCCCGCAGCCCACGGGACCCTCCGGTGGGCCCCGAGCGCTCCGGGAGGAGCCGCACGAGGTTGGGGACAATGACAAATAAAGGTTAGAGCCGAGGGACGAGCGCCGGGAGCGGCGGAAACGCCAGCTCCGCCTACACCGATCCCGCACGGACCGCGGCTGCGGAGGGAGCTCGGCCTGCCCTTCCCGGCAGCCCCGCTCGGCCGCGATTCACCCCGGCGACGGAGAGCCCCGGGCGCGGCGGGCAGTGACCGAGCGCTGCCGCACCGCCGGGCCGTGCCCCGCACTCACCGTGGTGCCCATGGCCGCGCCGGGCCCGGGCGGAGCGAGGCCCGGGCCGCCGGGCGCCCGCTCTGCGCATGTGCGGGGGAGGCTCCGGTTCCTCCGGTTCCGGCGGCGGCGGCGGGCGGGGAGCGGCGGCGCGCGGTGATGGCGTCATCGCGCCGCGCCGCCCCCCCCGGCGGAAGTGGCGGGGACGCGTTGCCCTGGCAACCGGGGCGGCCGGGCCTGGTCACACCGGAGGGGTCACACCCGGGGTCACAGCGGGGATTACACCGGGGGTCACAGCGGGGATTACACCGGGGATTATGCAGAGGAGGTCACACCGCGGGTTACTCTGGGGATTACACCGGGGATCACACCGAGGGGTCACACCAGAGGTTACACAGAGGAGGTCACACCGGAGGGGTGACACCGGGGGTCACTCTGGGGGGTCGCAGCGGGGATTACACCGGGGGTCACACCGGGGTCACACGAGGGCTGAGGTTCCGTTTCCAGCGTAACCAGATCAGCACCCAAGAGCTGTCCAGAGAGTCCCCAAAAGACCCCAAAAAGTTCCTAAAAAACAAACAGATGGAGAAAAATTCCAAACAATACAAGGGAAGGAAAACAACTTCCTCCCTGCTGGTTGCCCTTGGACTTAATTCGGAATTCTTCTCCATAATGGAAAGAAGACACAACTTTGGCGTTGGCTCCCTGCCCCGCTTTCTGTCACAGTGGAAAAACATTAAATAATAATAACTGGGGCCATCTGTCACCTCTCAGAGCTGCTGCTCTGCACAGCCCAAAGCCCTCCCGGTGTCCCGGAGCTCCTGCCGGGCCCTTCCCCTGCCCTGCGGAGCACTTTGATCCTGAAACGCCAGAGGGAATTCTGGATAAGGGAATTCTGGGGAGTTCTCCGGGAAATTGGCATCTCCACGTCCCTGTGGCAGGGAGAAGGGGATGTGAGGAGCTGATAAATTTCCCCGGTAGCTTGGAACTGGGAGCAGCTGCTTGGTGACTTGGAGAAGCAGGAGAGCCACCCTCATTCAATTTATTTCCCTTTGCTATTCTTTGGGACTGGAGCCATAACCCAGAGATGGGAATTTCAGCCCGAGCAACAAAATTACGAAGGCACTTTGTCTTCCTCGCCTCGGGGAATCACGAGGGTGCTGCTGAATGGAATTGTGGCAGTGCAGGAATCCCTCGGGTGGGAAAGATCTTTCCTCCCATCCAGAAAACCCCAGGGAATTCCACTGAGTGTTCCAAACCCGTGTGTGCACCGCTGCCAAGGCTGACCCCTCTAATTTTTTAGGTGACCTTCAGCTCATGGCCAGGCTGGCCTGGTCTCTTGAAGCTGTCCCTGCCCCTGGCAGGGGGCGGGATGAGATAAGGTTTTAAGTCCCTTCCGACCCAAACCATTCCCTGATTCTGTGACAAAAACCAGCACAGCCCCGTTCAATTTTCTGCCTGGCACATTTTGACCTCTGTGCTGCTGAAATGAACAAGGCAGTGCCCCGGGGTCAGGCCGGAATGGCAGCTTTGACATTCAGGGAGATCAGATCGTGAAGGAGGGCTCGGAGCAGAGCCCGCAGGGAACCCGCCCACAGCCCTCGGGGCTGTATTTCTTCCCCGTGCTAATTTTACTAAAGACACAACTCATATTCCTGTTGATTGAACAGTTTTGTGCTGACAGCGTTGGAGATTTGTGATGGAACTCATCACCAGCCCCGAGAGCGGGCCATTAGTCCCCGTCAGCGCGGCCGGCGAGGCCTCGGGTGTTTTATGGCCCTCTCTGAAGACAAACATACACATTTATATGTCACTTGTTGCAATATAAATGCTAACTTGTACTTCTTTCAAAACTTTTAATGAATTGTGCACATTTCGCAAGATTTATAGCGAGAAGCGGACGGCTCAAAATATTGCTTTAAACATATTTGTCACTTTGGCAACAGAACAAAAAAATCTGGAAGATACTGCCTTTAGAAATAAATCATAAATATGTGCGTCTTAAAAGAGTTTATTTTGGTCATTAATAGTTGATGCTCCCTCCCCCACCCGGCGCAGGATTTAAAGTTAAATTATGCAAAATCAAAAACAAACCTTATAATACTTAATCAAACATGCATAAAACTGTCAGGGCCAAATAAATTCTCTCAATTAACTTGCTTCAGATTGTGATTGCATTTACTAATTTAATCAACACTAGAATAATTTGGAGACTGGGTAATGATGAATTGCTGTGGTGCTGCACGTGAAGGGCCGCTAAGGTGGTGTGCTGAGGCAGGAATGCAAGAAATGCCTTCGAGGCTGAGGGCAAAAAACTGCAGCCGAGTCGTCACAATCATTTCGTAATGGAAACATCTTTTTCTTCCCATTTGGAGGGGGATTTTTGCCAGCAAATGCCCGTCATGGACAGCCCTTGTGTGGATGGATGGCTCCAGTGTTAGCCCATGGAGTCAATCTCATTTCAGCCCGAGATGGGCAGAGGAGTCAAACCCGCAGAGCTGTTCCCTCCCCATTTTTGAGTCATTTTGTGAGTGTGATCTTCCCCTGGGGGTGCTGACCTCCAGCCCTGCTGCCTTCAGCCTGCTCAGGTCGTTTAGGCTGGAGCTGGAGTAACAGCCCTGTAATATTGAGATGTCCTTAGCTCAGTCCTTTTGCACTTTGAATGGATCTGCACTTACAATAAAATGGGCCTGACCCATGCCTAGGAAAGCTTTCAATACTATTACTTGTGGAGAGCTAAACATTACACTTCTGCAGGCGTAAGCAAGGTTTTATGGAGAGGTTCTCATTACAGGTTCATGTGATGGAGGCTTTAAGGTGTATTCAACCCTATAAAATACCTGAACCTCAGAAAAATCACACCCATATTTGGTCTTTAACCTTTCCACACCTGTTTTACAAAAAATAACAATGTCCACCTAGCTGCTGGGGGAACGAACTCATTGCAAGACTCTCCTCCTCTCTCTTTCTCTCTATCTCTGAAAAATATGCTTTCCACAGCCTAACTGACCATTCTGGCCACTTTTTATTTGAAACGGAGATTGTGCTTTATAAATGTCTGGCACTCAGCACCGTTTGGTCCCCAGCAGAAATCAGTAAATAAAAATCCATGTGCTGAAGAGAATATCCAGAAAAATAGTTAACAAGTTTCCTTGGGTGACCCAGAAACAATTACTTCCCCAGCAATTCCAGAGCCGTGTAGACATCCATAATTCTTCAGGATTTAAAGATAATAAAGTGTTAACATGGTGTTTTTCAAGCATTCACTGCTGCCTTCCAGTCGTATCCAAAAGCACCATTCAAAACCAGCAGCATCTTAAACTCCCTTGGGTTTTGCTGAGCAAGAAATAAAACAAATGAAGGACTTAACTCTTTCCTTTTCCTTAAAGGAGATTTAGGGTTGAGTCTGGCCCTTAAATTTCAAATGTAACCGATCCTCCCTGCACATCTAAAGTGCAAAAGCTTGTGAAATAATTTTTCCTTGTTACTTCTTTCCAGATCTCATCTCGTGGCTGGAAATGTCAGCTTTAATCAGTTTGAGGAGATTTGCATGTGTTAAATAATAATGCAGCCTATTAGACTAACCAAATAAAAAGACATGTAGCAGAAAGTGGAACTAATTCCCAGTTCTGCAGCCCTGCAAGCCCCGGGTGCAGCCTTGGAGCAGCACCCCGAGCTGCTGGCTTTCCCAGCTCCCCAGGGCTGCAGAGTTTTGGGGTGTTATTTGGGGTTTGGCAGCTTTGCATCCCGAGAGAGTGAGGGATGTACAGAGCAGCAAGCCCTGCACTGAGCACCCTGCAGGCTGGGGAGCAGCAGTGCCAGCACAGATGGTTGGGTTGTGGAGCTCAGCGAGGCCAGGCTGCCGTGTCCCTGCAGGAATCCTCCTCCTGGAAGGGTTTTATGGATATATATTTTACAGGTGACTTGTGAAATATAAAACTAGAGCAGTCTGCAGTTTCTAAAGAAATAAATGATTGGTGCGAGGCTCGGTGAGACAGTAATGTTTGATGTATTCCATCTACGTGACACCTCAGGCTGCTTTTGGGCATAATAATCTGCTGCTGCCAGCCTCTGCTGCTCTAAAAACAAACCAGGGGATGCTTGGGGGGCTGGGGGCTGCTTGCTTCCCCTCTGCCCCAGAAAACTGCTCCCTCCCTGCTGCAGGAATCAGGACAGGGAGGGAAAGTCTGGTGTCAGCGTGGGTGGGATCCCAGTGAACTCACAAAAAGGTTGATGCACATAAAAAATATGTGTTGTTCTATAGCAGGGACACTTGACTAGCCCAAAAGACAGAGCCTTGCTGGGCTGGCTGTTCTCTCCACCTCTGGAAAATGGGAAGGTGGTTATTTTAAAGATGCTGGAGTCATGGAAAGATCCCTGCTGGCCTGCGGGGATTGGAGCAGGAGCCAGCTGCACACATATGGTGAGTGAGTAACTGTCTCTAAAACAAATGAAAATAGAATGGGATGCTTTGCCAGGGACAGAATTCCTGCCAAAGCTTGTTGCTGCATCATGTTGGCGAGTCCTGATCTGGCTGATGTCAGAAACTGCTTATTATGCAGAAAACTCTCGAGGAGAAGTGTCATTATTGCCTTCTGTTCCTTTGTAGGCTGGGTCTAATTTAAGCAGGAGGCAGTAAAACCCAATCCATGCCTGCCTCGTGGAGCTGAGCTTTGGTGGGATGGCTGAGAAGGCCTCCCAAACCCTCTGGCTCTGCAAAGTGCTGCTCTAAGGGTGATATTTCAGGTCAAAGGAACAGCTTTTCTCTGGGAATCTCAGTTCCCTGATTTCCCATTCATCAAGACTATATCTCAATCATATCATGTGCAGATGGCTCCTGTTAAACTCATTGCATAGATCCGTCAGGATCCTCCAGTCTGGATGAGATTGGTGTGCTCTGGGGTCACTTTAGCCACAGCAACCTCCTCTTGTGTCACCCACAGTGCTGGGTGACAGGAGAGAGCAGAGACAAGCCTTGGCTTGGCAAAGGGGTTTGTGCCTCTGAATCAATGAACTCACCTCCCCTGGGCATTGGCCAAGTGTCAGCTTTAGGGACAGAATTCAGCCCAGTGGGATCAATGGAAGGCCAGATTTTCCTGTTTCTTGGGCTTCATTCCAGAGCATCAGTTAATGTCGAGTCCTCACTGCCTGGGATTA